TTTGGCATGTAACTTCTGGACAACTTCGGCCTTCTTCTCCCCATCAAGGCTGATCATTTCTTGAGTAGGGATCGGTGATAGATCCAGCGGGGTCAAGGGGTTGAAGCCATAAACGACTTCAAACGGAGAATGTTTGGTGGCAGAGTGTGTTGCTCGGTTGTATGCGAACTCAACATGTGGTAGACATGCCAGCCAATTCTTGAGGTTGCGCCCAATTGTTGCGCGAAGTAGTGCAGCCAATGTTCGGTTTACAACTTCGGTTTGACCATCGGTTTGAGGGTGGCATGTCGTTGAGACCTTTTTTTTATTTTGAAGAAAACCGAAAAATACAAAAACAGTTCCACCGGTGAAGAGGTAACACGATATCTCTTTCTATTTCATTTTACTTTGAGTTCCTGTTCTGTTTTGATCTTTCTATTTACAAAACCTTGAGAAAAAAACAAAATAAAGAAGTTAGAATGTCGGGAGAAGGAGAGCCCAGCCACAATGCGCTTGCACAAATTCTGCAAGACATACAAGAACGATTGGCACGACTAGAGGAGTTACCAAGGAGACCAGAACCTATTCGGGTCAACTTTCCTAGGCGTGAAGAACCTGTACGAGACCGAGAACGCACACCCCCTGATCCTCCTCAACGACGAAGAGACCACAGGAACAACGTCCCAATTGAAGATGATGAAGAGGACGATGATTTATGTCGAGATCAGCCTCGTCGTGCAAGACATAACGGTAAAGATATCAAACTCCAATTACCTACATTTGCTGGTCGTGTTAACCCTGATGCTTTTCTCGATTGGGAGAGGCGGATGGATAATATCTTTGAATGTTATGAGTATTCGGAGTACAAGAAAGTGCAATATGCTGCTGCACAACTCACCGATAATGCCCTAGCATGGTGGGATCGCGAAGTCGCAGAAAGGAGAAGAGCACATTATGAACCCATCTCTACTTGGCGTGAAATGAAACTCATGATGAGGAGAAGGTATGTTCCACCTCATTTTCATAGAGAGTTGCAGAAGAAATACCGTTCTTTAGTGCAGGGGACAAAATCGGTTGAAGACTACTTCGAGGAATTTGAATATCTTCGAAACCGGTTGGAATTGGACGAAAACGAAGAAACGGTGATGGCACAATTCGTTGACGGACTGCAAGAACGAATTTCTCGCAAGGTCGAAAGGTTAGTGTATCATGATCTGCAGGAACTATTACATTTTGCTATACAAATTGAACAGCAAATCATCAAGAAACAAAACCGAGTACACCGCTCCCGTATGGCTGCACCAACTCCATCAACATACCGAAATGAGGGCCAAGGAGTAACAACCACTGTGAGCAGGCCAAGTATACATGAAACTCAAGTTCGGGACAAAGGGAAGGCTGTAGCTACGTCCAAGGATGATGCAAAGGTAAGTAGATCCCACTCTACTAATCTTAGAACTCGAGAGATTGTTTGTTACAAATGCAGGGGACGCGGACACTACGCCATGGACTGCCCAAACAATCGGGTCATGATTCTCACAGATGCGGGAGAGTATGAGTCAATGGACGAAGAAGAAGCTGAAATTACAGATGAGGAGATCGAATACCCGGATACTGGTGAGCTATTGGTTACGAGGCGAGTCTTGAGTACCATGGCTACTTCTGAAGAGACGGAACAACGAGAGACCATCTTCCACAGCCGATGCACCATAAGAAACAAGGTATGCGGTTTGATAATTGATAGTGGCTCTTGTACTAACGTTGCAAGTGCATACATGGTGAAGAAGTTAGGACTCGAAACGGAGAAGCATCCTCACCCTTACAAGCTACAGTGGCTTAACAATCAAGGAGAAATCAAGGTGAATGATCGGGTCAAAATTCCTTTCAGCATCGGTAGATACAAGATGAGGTAATATCTGACATAGTCCCGATGCAAGCCGGTCATATTCTCCTTGGACGACCATGGCAGTTTGATCGAGAGGTGAAACATGACGGTAGGACTAATCATTATTCTTTCGTATTTAACAAGCGAAAAATTTCTTTAGCCCCTCTAAGTCCTTATCAAGTGCATGAGATGCAAATGAAATTGTCAAAGGAAGGCGAGGACATCAAAAGAACAAACTTTTATGCCAAACCAAGTGTGGTAAGCAAGGCTTTAGTTGATGCAAGAACTGTACTACTAATGGTATTTAAGGATGTTGTGAGTACAGGTTTTGATGCACAAGAACTACCGCCGGAGATTACACGAATCTTGGAACGATTCCAAGATATCTTTCCGGAAGAGACACCTGCGGGGTTACCGCCTATGCGGGGAATTGAGCATCAAATCGACTTAGTTCCAGGAGCACCCCTTCCTAATCGACCCGCATATAGGATGAATCCCGAGGAAACAAAGGAACTACAGAAACAAGTACACGAACTCTTAGCTAAAGGTTATATACGTGAGAGTTTGAGTCCTTGTGCAGTTCCGGTCTTGATCGTCCCAAAGAAGGATGGAACATGGAGGATGTGCATAGATTGCCGAGCTATCAACAACATCACTGTCAAATACCGGCATCCTATACCACGCCTCGATGACATGTTGGACGAGCTTAGTGGAGCCACCATCTTCTCAAAGGTGGATTTGAAGAGCTGTTATCACCAAGTGCGCATGAAAGATGGAGATGAATGGAAGACCGCTTTCAAGACGAAACAAGGGCTGTACGAATGGCTTGTGATGCCCTTTGGCCTTACCAACGCCCCAAGCACGTTCATGAGGCTCATGAACCATGTCCTACGAGCTTTTATCGGTAAATTCGTTGTGGTTTATTTCGATGACATCTTAATTTATAGCAAATATTTTACCGATCATGTGACACATCTTGAGCTAGTCATGGAGACTCTCCGACGAGAGAAACTTTATGCCAACCTCAAGAAGTGCACCTTCTGCACTAATGAAGTTGTTTTTCTAGGATTTGTTGTGAGTTCGCAGGGATTACGTGTGGATGAAGAAAAGATAAAGGCAATACGAGAATGGCCAACTCCTACAACCGTCGCCCATGTTAGGAGCTTCCACGGATTGGCTAGCTTCTACCGACGATTTGTTCGTGATTTTAGCAGCCTTGCAGCCCCTCTCACGTCCATTATAAAGAAAGACAGACCATTCGAGTGGGGAGATGCACAAGAGAAAGCATTCAACGTGCTTAAGGAACAACTCACAAGCGCACCCGTCTTAGTCCTTCCCGACTTTGACAAGGTATTTGAAATTGAATGTGATGCATCCGGTGTGGGTATTGGAGCTGTTTTGATGCAGGAAAAACGACCCGTGGCGTTCTTTAGCGAGAAGCTAAATGGAGCAACACTCAACTATCCAACTTATGACAAGGAGCTTTATTCCTTGGTGCGTGCACTGCAAACGTGGCAACATTACCTCTTGGCAAAGGAGTTCATCATACATACAGACCATGAAACGCTCAAGCACCTCAAGGGACAGACGACACTCAAGAAGCGACATGCGAGATGGATGGAGTATATTGAGACCTTCCCGTACGTAATTAAGTACAAGAAGGGCAAAGACAATGTCGTTGCTGATGCCTTGTCAAGGAGGCATGCACTCATCTCAACCATGGAGGCTAGGATGCTCGGATTCGAGCACATCAAAGGGCTGTACCGGGAAGATCCTGAACTTGGAGACATATATGAAGATTGCGAAAAAGGAGCACACGGAGCCTTTTACAAGGAGGGAGATTACTTATTTAGGGAACGACGGTTATGCATTCCTCAATGTTCTATGAGGGAAC